TTTATTTAAATTATCACAAATGTTTTTAATAATTTTCGTTTTACTTAACGATAATAACCCTAAATGGTGCATCCCTAATAATATGCCTTGTTTTTGCCCATGTTTCCGTCATGGTTAAAACAATCCTAGAATGCACTGTGAAGATCTCTGTGAAAATGTTAATAGATAGCAGATCTTCTGGGGAAAAAAAATATGTTTGATGATGCAAAACTTTCCGGCACGATGCTATGGGTTTTTTTTTATTGTTGTTAGTGCGTTGCTATGTGATTGCTAGGGCGTTCTGGGTGGTTTCTTATTGGCTAAAGTCAAAAGAGCCCACCCACCTCTCTCTCTCTCTCTCTCTCTCTCTCTCTCTCTCTCTCTCTCTCTCTCTCTCTCTCTCTCTCTCTCTCTCTCTCTCTCTCTCTCTCTCTCTCTCTCTCTCTCTCTCTCTCTCTCTCTCTCTCTCTCTCTCAGTCGAGCTCATTTCCTTTTACAAGAGCTGTACAAACATGACATTCAGCACTAACAGCCCCTAATAAGGCTCATTTAGGCGTCCTGACAGCGCCGGGGCCGCTGCAGTCGTCCGGTGTGTCAGCGCATCGGCAGCTTTCGAGTGGGAGGCCGCCTGCCTGAGGAGAGATACGGCATATTATGTGTCATTGTTGTGATGGGAAACGTGCGGGAGAACAATGTAGATTCCTGCTTGAGTGATGCAGTGGAGAACGGCAGCGTCGGCTCGGTATTCGTGGGCACTAATGAAGTAATGTCAAGTGTACAGAGGCTTTATCTCTACTGCTTTAAGACCTCATTATGAAGATTTTTGCGTAGAGGTTCAGAGTGCACTGGATATGACAGTGTAACATGAAAGCAATTCAATGGGGATGCATGTTTGGGTTTGTGTGTGCATTAGTGCACATGATGACTCAAGTACAATGTTCATCACTGCTTTCAAATGCCCAGATGAGCTGGACATGTTTTTTGCAACTAGTGCACATGATTATGCTGCTTGGAAAGATGTAGGGAATGCATGAAATATGTGTTATCTGTTTTTACATTTAGATTACCTTTGCCATCAACTTTACATGAAGATAATCTTTAAAAACACTAAGAAATTCCTAATACTGTCAGGTGTAATCCTGAGCACATCCAAACAAATATCTATTTTTTAGTGCTGTGATGCCTAAATTCACCTGAACAATTCTTATAAAGTATTTAGTCTTATTTTTTTATTTATTTAGACAAAAGTTATGTATTGGCATTCATCAGTTATTTGTAACATGAAATAAAATTTTTAATATCGGTGGCAGTCTTTTATT